TAGGATAATAAATTTCCAGGGTTAATCAAGATGATGCTTCAATATCTTGAATCATTAAATTTTGATTTTGAAACAAGACATCAATTGGAAAAGTATCTCGAGTTTGTTGGCATGCGTGCTAGTGGTAATTTAATATATTTCGTTTATATGAACTTATTTTTTGTTAATGACTTTACAATTTTATTTATAAAATATACAACTATATTATAATAGGCAAACTTAAGACTACGGCGTCATGGATAAGAAATTTCGTACAAACCCATCAAAATTATAATCATGATTCAATAGTATCTCAAGAAATTAATTATGATCTTATAAAAAAAGATAGAAGAGATACAAAAATGTCAAATTAAGGAATTATTCGATGAATTTAAAATTAATTGATAAATTTTCTAATGCATTTAATTTTCAATTGTTCTTATTTTATTGGTTAATTAAATATTTATAAATTAATATACCTGATTTTTTAAATATTGCTAAGCTGTTTAATGTATAATTTTAATATTTTTGCATTATTTCCCTCTAAATGCAGAAATGCGACTTATAGGGGTCTGACTTTTGGCAACATGTATTTAAAAAACAAATAAGAAAAATTGCGTTATAGAGATCACATATATTTGAGCTAAGATTCCGATTTACATTTAGAGAGATGAAAAATTTAAAAGGTTACACTTAGAAATGGTTCACTATAGTGGGATGTATTGTGAAAGTAAATTTTAAGTAATTATTACAAAAAATAGATTTCGTAATTTGACATAGTGAAACGGTTTGTATAAACCGTTAGCAAAAATCTTGAAACTAGTTTTTGAGATATAGTCACTGTGGTGTTGAACACACCACCTGTGTGATCTAACAATCCGAAAGTTTTATTTTGAATTGTAATATGTTAAGGTATTTCTTTACTATAGTAATATGAAACTTAAAATCAATATAAAATTGTAATATAGCTAGCCTATTTCGAGATAAAATTTTGCAAAGGCTGATATTAAACTTCTAACAAAGTTACATTTTTATTTCTTGCATCTAGTATGAAAATGTTATATTCAAATGCAAAAATAAAATATAATTTTTTTAATAGAGACTCATTATTAGCATTTACTAGTGTTCCGCATGGGCCGGGCTGGGTTGGATATTTCGAAATCCAGATCCATCCTATATATTTGAGCAAGATCGGAAGAGCGTCGTGT